CTCTTCTTCAGCCCGGGCCCGACCATGCAGGAGACAAGCAATGGATGTGCTTCTTTCACACCGATGCTTCTCTCTGTCATTCCCTTTCTTCCACTCTCCCTAAAAATTAACAAAAACATATCCTCCTCCGGGTGAGGCATAACAACAACAAACAGATAAAATATCCTCTCTCCCCTTCCCCCCCAAAAACAAAACCTGCTCACGAAGGCCAGGCCTCATTATTTAAAGCAGAAACGGTTTTGTCCTTTATCTCCGCTCCACCCAGAGGTGGTATGGACTCCAAACTTCACCCAGGGGCCTTCAAAGATGCCTCACCAGGGTTTTCTTTGATTGTGTGAAATAGGGACGCCGAGAAGAGGAGTTAATTGCCTAAGAAGAGCCATCACATCCGTGACAGAGCTGCCCCCTGGGGATCTCTCCCTGGACCCGTAAGGTCGGTGAACAGGATTTGACCACTCCCCACCCAGGTAAGCGCTCGCTGGGACACAGGAGGACATCGAAGGATACTGCTCAGCTTGGAGGCCCCAATGTAGTGACGACAGGGAAGGAGCCTGGGCCGGGAGGGACCGAAAGGACTCTCCGAGAAGCTCCGGGCCTGCCCAGCCCTTGTGGGATGCTCAGGCCAAAAGTTAAACTGGCGATTGCAGAAACAGTGTGATGATGCCAGCGCTCGCTGGAGAGCACGCGGGGACCAAGTGCCCATGACTCCGCAAGGTTCCAGCACCCTAACAGGCATGGTGGGAGGAAACCAGAGTGCATGTGGGAGGGAGGGAGAGTGGATGAGAGCGAGGGCCTTAGGCCAGAAGGCGTATTATTCTCCCCCCCCCCCACACACACACACACACTCTCACCAAAAGCGTGGAAGAAACTTTGGAGCGAGCTCACTTCCTGGGAGACTCCAGGATGGTGATGCGACTCTCTCGCAGCTGTTGAGTATTCCCTTTGAACAAGACTTCCCAACGGGAAGCAAGCGGAGCGCCTTAACCCTTCCTTGCTCGCTCTTCTGGGCTTGGAGGATTCTGGCTCAGCTCTGGGTCTGCCAGAAGCTGCAGGCTCAGCGCAAAAAGCTGCAATAGTCATAGTACCCAGGTAGGGTGTAGGGCTGTAGGGCCCTTTACCCAGAGCTCACATGTGTGAACTGCCCCAAATGGACCTTTGTCATTTACTTAGTAGACGGCATGGTCTCAGACACACACCTACAGGTCTGAACGAAGCTCACGAAGCTCACGGTTCAACATAACCCGGAGCACAGTGGACTCCCCCTGCTTGCAGGGCCCCGGGAATCCATCCTTTTTAGGAATGCTTTAATGATTCCAACAACCCCACTTCTGTTGAATAACTTCTATGTGCAACTACAGGGAAAAAAAAACCTTAATTTATTACATGAAGTAGCCATTTACAATATAGCACTTTTTTTTTTTTTGCAACCCTGCTTTGTTATTTCTTCATCATTAAAGTGTATTTATCAGGAGATTGGAAACCTGGCCGAGGCCCAGCGTGTCTACATCTGAGGACCCTGCGCTGAGCACACAGGAGGACACCTGGGAACCTCTGTCAGAGGCCGGAGTTCAAGGAAGATCATTTCCCATCAGCCAAATCGGCACTGCCCAGAAGTTCATAACAACAACAATAATAATGGCAACAACAATAGTAAGTCCATGTGGGTTGTGCAGTGGCAAAGGGCTTTCAAAGCACACCCACACTTTGGGATCCACCCACCCCAGAGCCATGTCTGGAGCGGCCAACTACCCTATCACCTCAGCTCCTGGCTTCTGAGCTTTGAAGGATGGCCTGTGGCTTTTGGGCAAGTCACCTTGCCTGTGTGAGCTTCAGCCTGCCCATCTTTGGAATGGTGGTCTAGTTCACACACTAAGGTGGCCTTAGTGAACTGGCCACGGGGCAGACTCAGGAGGTGCAATGCCCCAAACGAATGGAGTTATCACTGTTGTTACCCATGTGGTTCTGTGTTCTTTGGCTGCTCCTCCGGGCCTCCCTCGGATGAGGAGCCTCTTTGCCTGCTTCCTTCGTTCTCAGGGCGTGGTGGCTGTGGCCTCTGCAGCAGCCATAGCCCCCCCCCCACCCCCCCAGTCTGCAACAACCTGCCCCTACTGCCTCCGCTCTCCTATCTGCAAAGCGCTGTCAGGCATTCGCTGGGCTCCGCAGTCCCCAAGCAGCTGTGTGTGCTCCCCAGCTCTGACGGTGAGCTGAGGGAGGTTGGTGACCTGCAAGATTGAAACCCTGTGGCACCTAGCACACACCCCCACCTCCCTTTCTCTCCCCCCCTGCACTGGTGGGCCTGCTCCCTAACTCTCCCTTCTGCCCAGAGCTCCTCCACCAGCTTTTTGGGCTCAGGGGAAATATCTAATCCTCCTTGCTGCTCAGGCTCGGTTGGAAACAGCTTGTCCTTCTGTAAAGTGAAGTGAACCCCTTGGACTTGTGGGAAGCTGGGTTCTGCCTTTTCCGGGCGGGCGAACCCTGACGGGAGATAACATGGGTGAAATGTGTGCCTGCCTGAGACTGAGCTCCGGGCAGGTTGGGGGGTCCCAGTCACTGCACCCCGCACCTTGGGGAGTGTGCAGGTCTTGGATGAGGTCCTACCTCTGGGAAAGGCTACTGAGGCTACTATCACTGCCAGTCCCCCCTCCCCGGCGCCAGCTCTCACCAGCCTCTTTGAGCTGGGGGTGAACTACCACAACGCCCATGTCAGAGGTGTGGGGAGGTACATTCGAGTCCTCCCTCAGACCTTCTCCAATGAACAGATTCGCTGTCATCTCTCCCCCTTTACTAGAGTTATTTTCATAATGGACCGCACCCCCATACACCCGCTGCTTGGCGGATACACTTGGGGGGGTCTGAGAGTGGAACTTGCTAGAATAGAAACCAACTTGGGACAGCCAAGGCCAAGACCCACAGGCTTTGGGGCGGGAAGGAAATTTGAGTTACACACACACACACACACACACACACACACACGCCCCAGGGACACTGGAAGTCCAGAATGAGATTCATGGGCTGGGCCTGCAGCCTTGGGACGGATTTCAGGGCGAGTCACAGCCTGTCTGCCCCCTTTCCCAGCCATTCCTTCTGCCTTAGTTTACCCTCCTCAGTGTGTGGGTCCCCAAGGCCAGCTCTGAGATTTGGGAAGGGCCGAAGGGGACTGAGAAACATGAAGCGTTCAGGCTAGGGCAATAACGTTCTGCTTCCCCGGGCCCAGAGCAGACCCAGACCAGCGCCCAGCTCTGCAGCCGGCCATGGGAATTCCCGGTGCAGGGCAGACAGGGAGAAGGACCAATTGTTCCCCATCCTCTACAAAAGGGCCGGGTGTGAGTGCTCAAGGAAAAGGAAATGAAAATAGTTATGCTACACATGTCTAGGGCCCTGTAAAGGCACCTGGCTAGGGTGGCAGTGCAGCGGGAAAGCCTCAGAGGCCAGGCTGGCCCCGGGGCTGCCTCAGGTTCCGGATCTCAGGGCATTCAAGCCAGCTCTGGCCCTGGGGCGGGTCAGAGAGAAACTGCCACAATCCGGTCAGATTGAATCCCTTTGAGTCATTTTCCCTGGAAGTCTCCAGCCAGCCCAGAAGAATTGGCCCTGGCAGGGGGTGCGGGAGAGAGAGCAGAGGGGTAGGGGCGCTGCCTGGCCTCCCCCGTTCTGTTCTCAGGACTCACTCCACATCCGAAAGGATGGAGCCCAACCCACCCGCTTAGAACGCAGCTATAACCAACTGCGGGTTTAGAAGAGGAAAAATCACTTCCCTGCCCCCAAATCAGTAGTGGCGACCTCTGGAAAGAGGTAAGGAGGAGAGTCTAACATTATCGGAAATGTTCTTCCTACCAAAAAGAATAAAATAAAATAAAATAAAATAAATTGCATGCATGAGCAGGAAACTAAAATCGAACCCGGTGAGAAAGAAACAAAGTGACTGCGGGAGCCAGTTGGAAGGTAGCTGGGCTTGGGGACCAGGGTTGCACTTCCCGAGAGCTTTTGCCTTTCCCTCCGCACTTCTGTTTCCAGAAGCGGGAACCGTTTTTTCAAGGCTCCTGGCCACTCTCTGCCCCATCCGGTCCCCAGGGCTGCAGACGCCAGGCCTCCGTCTGAGGGTGTCAAGGCCAAGGGGTCTCGTGGCAAAATAAGGTCGAGGCCCGAGGAGGGCAGGCCGGCCGGCCCGCTGGCTCCCGGCGAAATTGAAAGCAGCGGGCCCGGTGTCTGCGTTTCCCTGCTCAGGCCCCCGCGCCTGCCCTGCGCGTTAACCCTTCCCAGCTCCCAGGCCGGCGGGAGCGAGGGTAGCGGGGCGCGTTTTGCGCGGGCGGACTGGTGGCATCCTGGCGCTCGTTCCCCTACAGAATCCAGTAACATCGAACCCTCCCTCTGCCCATCCTCTGCGCCCATTTTAGCTTTCGGTGCGGATGGAAGGGAGCAGGGCCCTGGAGCAGTGGAAGCGCCTTTTGCACCCGCCGAGGTCGGAGCGCCAGGGACCCTCCCGGGAGCCGCCCGGGGGACCCTCCAGCCTCGCTCGCCCCTCATCGCTTCGGAGTCTCAGCGAAGGTTTTTGCTGGCCTGTTCTCCGAACCAACTGAAGCCGGAATCACGCAGAAAAAAAAATATGTGGAACACGGAAAGTACGGCAGATGCAGGCAGGTGGAGGGGTCGGCGAGTTAGGACGCGGGATGGGAATGGGCCGCAGGTTCAGCTACAGATGCTTCCTGGATTCTGACACCAACGCTCGCGAGGAAAAGGGGAATCCTGGGGACCCGATCCTGATTAGTGGGGTTCATCTTGGGCTCTGGCGAAGTCAAGATTCCCTGAGCTGCACAGATTTTCACCCCTGCTGGGGAGAAGGGAGAGGTGGCCAGCAAGGGGTGTAAATCTGGAGGGGCAGACAGCCTGGGTCCAGGACAGGAGGCTGGGAAATGGAACCCCAGCTATTTCCATGGCCCTGGCTTCCCCAAAGCCAGGCGGGCAGAGAGGGGCTCAGAGAAAATGAGGCGTCCAGGAGGGCATGTTACATGGAAAGTTTATAAATTAAAGGGAAAAAACAGCGAACAGAGCTTCCCAACTTGGCAAATCTTTTAAAAGTGAACAGTCTAGTTGAGTGCACTGTGCCCTTAAGGAGGCGGAAAGCGGCGAGGGTGACAGGATCACCTGTCGCAGGGGCGGGGGACCGGGGCCGGGGCACCGGGGCCGGGGCAGGGCCAGGCCTGCGAATCCTCGGTCAGGACGCAGCGGTGGCGAAGAGGGGACAGGAGGACAGACAAAGGGCCCGGCGGCTGGCCCATTGCGGAGGAGGGCACCGTGGACAGGCTGGTCAGGGATATTCACACTGAATACAAAAATAACCGTCATTTGAGTACAAACAACTGAAAAGTGCTACACTTTGAACCCCCTTTGGAACAAATAAAAAGAAATAGAAGAAACTTCTCTGCGAAGGAAGGGCTCCCAGGGAGCTTCTGGCCTGGAAGAGGAAGGAGGGGGGGGAGGAGGGGGAAGAGGGTGCGCCATGCTCAGAGGCTTCCTTCCTTACATTCAGCGTTCACGGGGCGCCCTCACCCAAGGTCCGATGCCCGGGAGCCAGGGAGGGAGGGAGGGGCCAGAGAACCAAACCCTTCACAGTTCAAACCAACCCCTGGCCCGGGGTTCCTTAGGGGGCCGCCTGGGTGTCGCACCCCCTTTATTACAAACGCAATTTCCAAAAAGAATAGATATGTCGATATACATAGATCGGTAGCATGGATACCATGAACTAGTGTGGCCTAGCGCACGCAGCTCCTGGCGGCAGGGACCTGATCCTCGGGGGACTCAGGCTTACGTGGTGTCCAGGAGTTCTCTCCGCTCTGGGGAAACGGGAACCGCCGTCCCCAGGCAGATACAATCCAAATCCCAATCCAAATCTAAATCCAAGGCTGTGGCGATAATAAATAACGTCTCGGGGCTTCCAGGCAGGTTTAGGGGGGCTAGGGGGAACGGAGACGCCGCAAAGCCCCTAGGCCCCTGGGCGCCTCTGTTCAAACTGGGAAAAGGCGCCCCCTCCGGGCAGACTCAAGTCCCATCGCGGGGGCGCACGTCCAGGATAGCAGATTGGATCCAGGGCTGGATTGCATCCTCCTCTTGCCCCCTCGGTGGGTGTGGGTGCCCCTGGACAGAGCCGGGGAGCCGGGATGGCTCCGGCCGGGCCCCGGGCCGCTCACTGGGTGCCCGCGGCGGCGGCGCAGGGGGACAGCGCCCAGCCGGGCAGGCAGTAGTACGGGTAGTAGTAGGAGGGCTGCAGGGGCAGCAGCGACGGCGGCCGCAGCACCTCGCCCGGCAGGTACTGTCTCTGGTCGTCGCGCACCAGCACCTTGACCGCCACCTTCTTGGCCGCGGGCGCCGAGGCCAGCAGGTCTGCGGCCATCTGGCGGCGCTTGGTCTTGTAGCGGCGGTTCTGGAACCAGATCTTCACCTGCGTCTCCGTGAGCTTCAGCGACGCGGCCAGGTCAGCGCGCTCGGGCCCCGACAGGTAGCGCTGGTGGTTGAAGCGGCGCTCCAGCTCGAAGACCTGCGCGTGCGAGAAGGCGGCCCGCGAGCGCTTCTTGCGCGGCTTCGGGGCCACGGGCCCCTCCTCCTCCTCCTCTTCCTCCTCCTCCGCGCCGCCCGCCGGGCCGCCCCCGCCGCCGCCCGCCTCGCCGCCGCACAGCACGCGGGCGCCTCCCGGGCCCACGCTGTCGTCCTCCGGCCTCGGGCTGCGGTCGCCTTCGGACCCCAGAGGAAACAGAAAGGAGAGAGCGTCAGCGAAGCCGGGGAGTGAGGTTGGGGTGGGGGTGGGGAACGGAAATGTCTTGCGATCCCACTAGGACCGCCGGGAGGGCCTCCGAGCCCGGGTTTGGGTTTGCGGAGACAGTCTCCCTTCCCGCATCTAGGCCTGTCGGGGGCGGCCCAGGGACTCCGCCTCCGCTGTGCCAACGCCCCGCGGGCGGCCCAGATCCAGCTCTCTGCTCTCTCTGGGCCCCAGCCTCCCCTCGGTAACGCGGGGCACTGAGTCTGGTTACCCTCCAAAGCCTTCTGGACTCCGAGAGCCGAGCCCTGGGGCTCTAGACTAGATTATGTTTCCCTCTCTGGATTCACCCGCCTCCCCACACTCACGCTCACACATACACATGTGTTAGCTGAGCCTCAAGCGAAGGCGTGGGGACAAGTTCTGGGGACAGAGGTATCAGAGTCTCCCGCCGCCAACCACCAGAAGGTGTGGCAACGGGCTGCCCCCAGGCCTTGGGCGGACTTCTCCCTCTCTTCGCCAGGAAATTAGACAGAGGCTGGGGTTTGGGGTGGCAAGAGCAGGGTGTCCCTGCCCCGAGTCCTCGGATTCACATCTGACTCTAGTTCGACTCTCCAGCGCACTCTGGCCTCAGCACCCAGCAGAGAGGTATGATGCTCTGGCCACAGCACCCAGCAGAGAGGCCACAGCACCCAGCATAGAGGTATGGCGCTCTGGCCACAGCACCCAGCAGAGAGGTCCAGCGCTCTGGCCTCTGGCAGGCAGGACAGACTTTGCCTGGGGCCTGATCAAGGCCTACAACAGCGTCTACCAGACCTGGGGCAGGCGTGGGGGTCTCTCTGAACCAATGACTTGCCAGAAGCTGAGGAGGCCCCTCTCCCTGCTGCGTCTGGGGTGTCCTACATCAGCCCCGCTGCCTCCAGCTGGCTGCTGGGTTTGCCTCCAGCTCTGGGGTCCTCAGCCCAGAACAGCTTTCCAGGCCCTGGGATCTGAGGAGCTGAACAAACCCTCCTCTCCAAGCCCGGGCTCAGCAGGTCCTGTCCTCTGGCCCGAGGGGAGGTGGCCCTCGCTACCTGGCCTGGCCCTGGGCCCTCCCGCCCGGAGAGTCTCTGCTCTCTCTCTGGGTGAGGGCCAGCGCACTGGCTGTCCTAGATCTCTGGGCCTCTCGCTCTTCCCCCTTCCAACTGATTTGGGATTTGGAGACAGACACGGCCTGCTGAAGGCACTAAAGATGAACTCAAACCCAGTGGTTCCCTCCAGCCCTGTCCGGAGGACATCTCGGGCCTCGTCCCAGGATGGCAGGATGCTCTGGTTTTCTCGGGCTTCCTTCCCGGAGGGTTAGGGCTGCCCACGCCCGAGCGCAGAGCTTGGGGTCCAGATCCGACCCCCGGGCCCCGGATCAGCCCCCAGGTCCCAAGGCAGGGTGCTCGCGGCAGGCAGGCCCTCCCCACTCGGCAAGGCTGACCTTCTCGCCCAGCCCCTCAGCACGGCCCCCTTCCCCGGGAGAAGCCTCGGCGAACCTGAGACGCTGGCGGACATCTCGCTGTCGCTCCGGCCCGCGGCTTCCTCCTCCAGGTCCTTGGCGGCGGGCAGCTCGCAGCCCGCCTGGACGAGGCCCAGGGTCCCTCCCGCACGGCCGGCCCGACCGGCCGCGGGCGCGTCCGCGCAGCGCCGCCCGCCGCCCTCGTGGTCCTCGCTCAGCGCCGAGTCCGAGTCCCAGGCGCCCGGGCTCTCCGCGGTGCGCCCTGCCGCTGCCGCCGTCCTCGGCCCGGCGGGCGACGCCAGCAGCGGGTCCTCGGCGGCCCCCAGCGCGCCCGCGTCCTTCTCCCCAAAGAGCCGCCAGCAGCAGACGGCGGGCGCCCCGGCCACCGCTCCCGGGGCGCCCCCGGGGGCCCGGCGCCCCTCGGGCGGCGCGGGGAGCCCGCCGCGCTCCTCCTTCTTGTTGAGGATCGCCTGGATGGAGAAGGGCGTCAAGGTGCTGGCGCCGCGCACGGCCATCTGCGCCGCGGGCCGGGGCGGCCGGCCGGCCGGGCGGCCGGGGAGCGGGGCAGCTCCGAGCTGGACGGAACTTTCGCGCGGGGCCCCCGCAGCCCACTCCCGCGCTATCGGTCCAGGAGCCCGCGCCCTGCTCTGGCCTGGGATCAGCGCCGACCCTCACCCCTACTTCCGAGTTTTCCCTACCCCGCCCGCCCGGAGACCCCCTCCCTCCCTCCCTCCCTCCCGATCTAGAGCCAGACGCCCTTCTTTCGCAGCTCAGCTGAATTATCTCATCGCCTAGCGCTCCGAGGGGAGGAGCGGGCCGGGGTCGGCCCCTCGGAGGGCATTTGGGGGGGAGGATCCGCGGGGGCCCCTCGGGCGGCTGCTGCCGTCCCCTCCTAAGCGCCTCCGGAGCGCACGACCCAGAGTCCCTTTTCCTCGGAGCCTCGGTCTCTTGCCCGCCTTGCAGGGCTTCGCTCCCGGCTCGTCCTCTCCCTTCCCCGCTGCCGGAGCCCACCCCCGGCGGCAGGCAGCGGTGGCGGCGGCGGCCGCGAGACTGCGAGAGGCGCGGGGCACCTTTTCCCCCCCTGCCTGGGTTTTATCTGTTTCTTCTCCCTTTTCTTCCCCCGCGTTCCTGCGGACCCCCCTCCCGCGCGGGTGTCATTCCTCACCGCTGAGTGACAGCCGCAGGCCACGCCCCCGCGGTGGGCGGTGCCGGGCGCTCCCGGCCGCTCATTGGCTGGCTCCGGCGGGGAGACGTCCGCCGAAACGGACAAAACTGGGCGCGTTGCGAGCAGAAAGTCAGGGTCTGGCTTAACCCCTTTCCTCCCAAGTGTGGTTCGCGAAGCATCTTCCAGCGGCGAGGAGGCCGCAGAGCCGCCGCTCGAGAACCCGCGGGGCTTACCTTGGTGGATGCACCCACCTTTTCCCGCGTTTTGATGCAGCGCCGTGTTTAGCGGAGTCATAGCCCAGGCGGCATTCCAAGAGAACGCAGTTCCATATACCGCGCATAGTTTCTGTCCTCTAGGAAGGTGCACAGAGAAGAAAAAAAAAATTGTTTCTTTCGCCCCCTTAGACTTTCGCGGCTCTTCCCTGCTAATTCTTTTCGCTGAAATAATCAGTTCATGAAAATCATTGTTATTTTTCTTTCCCGGCCGTATTTGATTTGATTCGATTGCTGTGTAGAGGAATTGATTGAAAAGGGGGGAAAAGTTAGAACTAAAATCAGGCGAGACATTGGAAGGCAAGTTTAGGAGAGTTTCTGGAAATTTCGTGATTATTCCCTGCACTGCCAATGCTGAGTTTAATTGGAGTTAAATTTTGCACCAGGAAGAAGAAAAAGGAGAAACTTTCCATTTGTTCTTTAAATATTCTGTTACTTGTGAGTTGAATGAGATTAGAAGATATGTATTTGTTTAAAAAGAATTTCTAGGAATTACCATAGAAATGATCCTGGACTGGCATTAAATGCTCTTCAAATAAAATAAGTAACATTGTTTTTCTGTACAAGAAGGAGCCGAGTTAAGAAACACAAATATTGTGGGTATATAAAAACATTTGTTACTAATTCTTGTTGTTTATTTTTAAATAAAAAAATTTTTTTTTTGCACCAGTAAAATGCTTTACTGTCTTCCATAAATTTTGCCAGAGGTTTAACTTAACACCAAATACACAGCGGGAGCCATTACATACATTGAAGGAAGTGTGATGTTAAGGTAGTGAAGTGTGGGGTCTGGTGTTTTTGGTGTCACTAACATAAACAACATTGCCCTTGTTGCTGCGTTCTTTTCGGTGGCTCCCCATGGGAACCCACCGCAGGACGGAACACACCCACTGTCCCATTCTCAGGCTCAGCGGGGGCTCCGCAGCATGTCCACTTCTCAGCGCCTCAGCCACAGGATGCTTGCTGCATCCCAAATATGCTACAGAGCGGATCCTGTCTGGATTCGATGCGGAAGAACCTCACACTTGCAGAGGTCATTGCCCTCTGTAGATCTTCACCAGGACATCAGGTTGGGAGAGAAAGGTGGTGTAAATGTGGTGTCAGGATCCACCGAATGTCTTCTGGGCTTCAAAAGAAAGCGTGTCCTTGCTTTTCTCTCTAGACCTTTATTTATCCTCTAAATAAATCATCTCTCCCTTGCCGCCCTAGGCAATGTGTTGCTATTCTCTGGGGTCCAGTGGAGGAGGAGGTGGACCCAGGGTGCCCAGAGGGTGAGAGGTGCGGGTGTGACCTGGGTGTCGCAGTCAGCTCTCCTTTATCCTTCTGCGGGGTTAGGACATGGTATGGGCACCGAATACAGACACTCAGACAGGCAGAGAAGCTTTGGGGTTTAATAACTGAGACTGAGAGTAAGCGTGGGGCTATCCAAAGACTTACTTAGCTCTCCTCTACTTTTTAAAGACAACCTCCTAACACCATCCCAAATCCAAGTAGGATATACCCTCACCGCTGACACAGGCTCGGGCAGAGGCGTTCAGAGCGTGGAGAGCTGTGGCTGCGGACTTTGTGGGCTTCGGGTGTGAGACTGGCGGCCTCCCGAGTCTGCAGGAGGAGCGCCGCCCGGAGCTCTGTCCCAGAGGCGCGGCCCCGAACCGTTAGGGCCGGAGCTTGGCTGCGGGCAGGCCGGGAGGCGGGTGCTGGCCGCGGGTAAACACCAGGCTCTGAAGCCGCTGGGGTGGAGAAGGCAAAGCCTTTGGGGGACAGTGGGCGAAGGTGGTGGGATGCAAAGAAATTTATTTCCCCGGGTACGCGCAGAGGCAGGGCCAGCGAGTGGCTGGGGAGGGGTGCGCGGCGAAGTCTCCGCAGCTCCGCAAATCGACGGGGATCGGAAGCTTCCGCGCCGGCCGGCGGGCCGGAACCGGCTTGCAGCTCACCCAGGGCGGTCTGCTCCGGCGTGGCTCCCGGCCCCGCGGCTGCAGGACGGCGCCTGCAGGGCGGTCGGTGCCGCGCTCAGGCCTGGGAATCCGCGGAACCGGAGATGGGAACCCCGAGTCACCCACGCACAGAAGGCGATCGGTTCGCCCCGCGCGCTGCCTTCCACCGCCTGGCTCTAACCTTATCCCCCCGCAGCGCCCCTCTCCCTGACTCCGCAGCTCGGTTCCTGCGCGCCCCCAACAGCCCAGGTCCCCGCGCTGCTGGGCGGGGAGGTTTCCCGGGTCGCGTGCGGAGTGCGGGATGCGGGTGTGAGAGCCCAGGGGACGGAGATGGGGAAACGCGGCTCTCGGGCCCGGCCCACCAGGGGCCCCCGCGCGCTGGGTCCCTGCCGCCCATCACCCCTGCCCTCAGCCCTCCTTCGTCTTGGGGGGGTGGGGGGGGGAGGAGCTGTTTTCTGTGCCCGCGATGGACCGAGGGCACACGCCCGGGCTGCGATGCAACAGGAGACCGCGCTGGGCTTCTCCGTGACGCTGATGACCTGGACTGAAGACATTGGCCTTTTCTGGGCCGCAGTTTCTAGTCTTTTAAACCAAGGGCTTTGACTTGGTGCCCTCTGAGGCCGAGGCGCCGCTGAACTGCTGGAGCTGGTGTGTGTGTGTGTGTGTGTGTGTGTGTGTGTGTGTGTGTGTGTGTAGGAGGCTCGGGTGCAGGCTCTCAGGCCAGGTCCAGGCAGAGGCTGAACCGGGGTCCCCTGGTCCCCACCTGCAGGCTCCTGAGGGTGCTCCAAGCATCCCCAGCGCCAAGCAGCTGGCCACCTTCCAGCCAGCAAACACCAACCAACTCCCTAGATCCCAAGTCCTCCGTCTCCAGACTCCAGGGTTTTTCACACACGTGGCCCCGTGGCCCCGGTATACCTGACTGCACAGGGAAGCATGGCTCTGGGTCAGAGTAGTTTTCTATTTACACAGATGCTGTTCACCAGCAAGGTTCCAGGGGCCCCAGCCTATTGTTTTTATTTATTTATTTGTTTGTTTGTTATTTTTAAAATGTATTTTTATTGCTTTCAGAAAGGAAGGGAGAGGGACAGAGAGAGAGAGAGAAACATCAACAATGAGAGAGAATCATTGATGGGCTGCCTCCTGGACAGCCCACACTGGGAACAGAGCCTGCAACCAGAGCATGTGCCCTGACCAGGAATGGAACTATGACCTCCTGGTCACAGGTTGACACTCAACCACTGAGCCACCATGGCCAGGCCTATGGTTTTGTTGAATCTACACAACCTTGAGGGTGTGGGGAGTAGAACACATTATTATCCCCACTTTACAGATGAGGAAACAGAATCATGTAGTTTAAATGACCTGACCGGCAGTAAATAGCTCAATCAGGATTCAGACCGGTCTAATGTACAATCCTGTTGGGTATCCTAACCAGTTGTGTTTTTTTTTTCCTATGAACCTTCAGGTTTATTCTCATCAAGTGTTTCTTATTGTCTTCCTGGCCCATTTCAATGGACTTCTTCATCAGAAAAGGAGCCTGGAATTTAAGGAAATCGAAGAAAGAATTCGGGCAGGCAAATGTAATGATTTTTCTGGTTTGTGCATTTGAAAATGAAGGACGCCAGAAGCCCATGCATCTGGACGTAAGGTTTGTTATACCGAAAGAAAGAAAACCCCACCATTATTACTATAATCAATGAAAGGAACCATGTGTAAAGGGAAACAGCTGATTGGGTTCGGAAATACGCGGACCTGGGCTCTGCTGGAGGATGCAGTGATAAGAACCTCACGGAAGACGTTTCCTCTTCGGAGCTTTAGTTTTCTTACCTGTAAAAAGCCCATGTTGGAGGTGGCAGCTCACGTTTAAAGAAAGTGAAGCACGGCCTCGCGAACCCGCCTGGGTACAGTGGAGGACGAGCGCCACCTAGCGGGAACCCTTGCGGGATGTGTGGCGTACCGATCTACTGAAACACCGAAAAGAAAAGTGTTGCTTTCACAAAACGGAATGTTTTTCGCTGTGAATTGTCTCCACAGCCTCACGTTATGAGCAACCTAATAACGGAGGTGTTCCTTTGAAAAGACTCATGCAGACACAGTCCGAACCCCACTGAAAACTCACCTCACTAAAAGGCAGGGCTAGGTAGGGGATCAGCTGGAGAATCGAGGTAGTTGCAGAGACCTGACCTATCACAGCATCCTTGATTCCTCTGTGCAGACTCCTCGGGCTGCCTCTGTGAGTGCCCCACACAGGCTCTGACTGGATGCTGATTTAGGGCACGTGTATTCTGTATGCTTCCTTGGAGTCGTGGGAATGTTTTTAAGTTCTTCAGAAACGAATAGCTTCATGAGACTAATTGGGGTATTTCACCCTAATCCTCAGAAAGTGCAGGCATTGCCGAGACCGGTTTGGCTCAGTGGATAGAGCTTCGGCCTGCGGACTGAAAGGTCCCGGGTTCGATTCCGGACAAGGGCATGTACCTTGGTTGCGGGCACATCCCCGGTGGGGGGTGTGCAAGAGGCGGCTGGTCGATGTTTCTCTCTCATCGACATTTCTAACTCTCTATCCCTCTCAATTCCTCTCTGTGTAAAATCAATAAAATATATATTAAAGAAAGAAAAGAAAGAAAGGAAGAAAGGAAGAAAAGAAAGAAAGAAAGAAAGGAAGGAAGGAAGGAAGGAAGGAAGGAAGGAAGGAAGGAAGGAAGGAAGGAAGGAAGGAAGGAAGGAAGGAAGAAAGAAAGAAAGAAAGAAAGAAAGAAAGAAAGAAAGAAAGAAAGAAAGAAAGAAAGAAAGAAAGAAAGAAAGAAAGTGCAGGCATTACAGACAAGCCCTTGGT